AAATATATCTTACGTAAATTTTTGTATTTGTTTTTTTTTTGAATTTTTTTTTTATTATAAAAAATTAATGACAAAAAAGGATTATTATATATATATCAATTGTATATACATAATTCATTTTATATCATAATTATGTTTTGTTATACATTGAATCATTGGGTTTTTTAGGTTTTTATTAAAGTCACTAAAGTATGAATTATAATAATAAATAAAAAATTACTTCTTATGTGTTACAATTAAAATTAAAACCACATTTAAGAAAACGAAATGGATTTAGAATATAAAATATATCGATGAAAAAAATATGCATTATGATTAAATCATAACATTTAATTCATTTATAATTTATGAATCAATACACAGGTTTAATAAACATAATAAAAGTAATTATTTCTTAATTTTTTTATATTTTGATGATAAATGGATTATGTACTCAATAAATTTTACACTAAATATGTACCTTACGACAAATGATGGTATATAAAAAAAATTTTGCATATATTTTTTGGGATTTTATTAAAATGTATAAGTAAAAAAATTAATGGTTATTAAAAAAAAAAATTTTTATGAGAACATGTCATCATAAAAAATTTCACGTCTTAGATATTTTTATATATAAAACGTAATAAATATGGCTGTAAACATTTTATTTCATATTCAGAAATTTTTATTTTTAATAATCATTGAATAATAACATTGATTAAAATACTCATAGAAAATATTAATATTATATATATCAGACGTTATATCTATAACTAGACTTGAATAATGTATAATAAAAAAGAAAACGAATTCATTGTCTACTAAAATTAATGCTTTAGGTCTACTTTTTTTAAGAGATTAAAACATATACATGTTCTATTTTAACATTAATCTACATTGGCAAATAAGCACATTTCAGTTATTAATTTGTATTAAATCATTTTTTAATATTAATTGTCGAATTATAATTGAATTCGTATAAATTGTCATTATGCATGTAAATAAAATTAAAATTTTATTCAAGTAAATGTATTATTTAAGAAGCGAACAATAAACCTCATAAAGCTAAATTATCTATTCTGAATCCTATACCATTACATGCTTAAAACATTGATTATAATACCATTAATGCAAGTGTGATAATGTCAACATATTAAGAACTTTCATATAAATGATTTCATTTTCTAATATAATTTTTATAATAGAATAACATGTGCATGCATACTTATAAATTATTTCAATATAGGAAACGTTATAGTATTTATGCACCTACAGTTGGAGTTGAATTATACAGAAATTAAATGATTATATATATGTAATATACTAATCGTAGTAATCATTATATATCGCAGTAAAAATATATGAAAACTAATGAAATAAAAAGTTAATCACTTTCACTTTGGCATATCAATATTTTTTATAACATAAGATATCTTTATTGTCGTCTAATAATTCATATTCTTAAACTATTGTCTCAACATATTTTTATTGCGAATAAAGTAAATATATTTTAATAAATAAAAAGTGCCATTAGATATTTTGCATTCTATTATGAATAACAGAATTAATTTATAACATATTATTTATATATATGAATTCCTTTTTATATCTTTGTACATATTAAATATATATTCCTTATGTTTTTATTTATTTGCATTTATTAATAAAATCATAAATAATTTAAAAAATAATTCCAAAAAAATATATATAGTAATTGGTACATATAATGCGTACATAACGTAAATTACAATAACCTTGTAATTTATATTGTTTCGATAGAACAATTAATTTATAAAATATACATGTAATTTTATTTATTTTTTGATATAGTAAACTTCGTTTAATATATATTAATAAACTATAATAATATAGTTTTTTCATCCTGTATGAAATATAAAATTTTAACTCTACTGATTTATAGTATACAATATATATATACAATATGAAGGGAAAAAATAAGTGTATAACTTCTATTAAAATTATTGCATTCATATTTCTCTTATGTATATACCACCATTATGATGATGAAGTATATTAATTATATATACGAATATTTTAGAATTTTTACAGTATTATTTGTATGTAAAAAAAATTTTACCCTTATAATTAATTATACATTTATTATGTAATTATATTTTATATCTTTATTTAGCGTATATTTTCTAAATATTTTTCTAACACATTCAATGCTTATAATATATGTATTACAAGAACTGAACGCTTATTGGCTGAACAAAAATCTAAAATCATAGATAAAAAAAACACTTTCAAAAATAATTTAAAATCGTCTAAACCAAAATACATTATAAAAAATGGGTTGCATAAAATGTCCTCTATATACAAAGACATGAAATTGCTGGATGATAGTGTTCAAGAATTATTATTAAAAATACCTGAAGAGGTAAATAAACATGTAGTAAAAGATGAAATAACGAATCAAAGATTAAAAAGAGCCCTTTTTAATGATTATCCTATAATCCATGTTATTCCATTAAGTGGAAGAATTGCTACTATATTGTATGATTTTACTGGAAAAAAAATACATGAGATTGTTGTTCATTCTATATATTATTCTTTAGTTATTCTTTTAACACATAAATGCAACTCAAATTTATATGGTAAATATACAGAGTTAAATAATGTATCATTTCTTACTATAATGGTTATATGTTTATCAGAAATATTATATATTATCGGAAAATTTGATTTCTTAGAAAAAAATAAGACTCCTGAAATGAGAGAAAAAGAATTAGCCAAAGAAAAAAAATTGGAAATTAAAAAAATGAAAATTGAAAAAAAGGAAAATAAGAAAAAGGAAATTGAAAAAAAGGAAAATAAAAAAAAGGAAATTGAAAAAAAGGAAATTAAAAAAAAGTAAGAAGAGGATATGTTAAAATATAAAGAAATAAAAAAACAGGGAATAAAAGATTTGGATACTTATATGAAGTACTATGAGCAAGGATATTATAGTAGGAAATGATTAGGAAAACCGCAAAGTTACTGTAAAATAAAGTATTCGATAAAATAGATAAAATATCAGAATGTAGTAATAGTGAAAACTAAAGTATATGAACAAAAATGTGTATAAGTTTTGGACACTTTGATACACTTTTTCGTCTACTTCAATTATGTGGATTAATTTATCCTTCAACAAGTAAGATAAAACACACTGAACGAAATAAATAATATTCTTTATTATATATTAGGTATTCTACTTGAAAAATCGTATATTTATGGGGTGTTTATTATAATATTATCATATTTAATTTTTTCATCCATTATTTACATAATGAAAATAGTTGTACAATATGAACGCCTAAAATCTAGGAAATGTAAATGAATTTTAAGGAGCATTGTACCTTTTTCAATAAAGTGTTAACTAAATAAATATTCTTAATAAGTATATAAAGTTCTTAAATTATAATAAGACATCAATAAGGACTAGTACATTATGTATACTACATATGTATAACTATTACTTAAATAATGATAGTAGTATATATTTTTATAATTTTTTATTTAAAATTATTATGTGTTTAATCCATGAATTTTTTCTATATTATAAATTTTATATTAATATAAAAATATATATAATACATGTACTTTTTTCTTATCATCTAAATAATTTTTTTATGGTTACGCACTGTTAAAAAAATATATATTAATATTTTTCTCTTTAATATGTATATTAATATTAGAGAACATTTAATTAATTTTGTAATAGTTTGCATGTAAATTATATTCTTTTTCTTAATTGTTTGCCTTATAATATAGAGTTACGAAAAATGTTATCCTTTTATAACTGCTGTATAAATTTTATTTGATATATACACAAATAACTATAATATTCTATTTATGTATAATATATACCAAAGATATATTTGTTTAAATTAATAAATTAAGAATATATTTACAGAGTTCAAGGCTCAGGTATTAGTATTTATGTTTCATGATTTAGCTTCAGGTTTTATAATTTAGTTTTTCGTGTTTAGGTTTAGAATTTATGCTTTAATTTTTTGATTTTCCTTTTAGATTTTTAGCAATACCCCTTCATATATCTATTTCTAGGGTTCTTCAATTAGTTTAAGGGTATCTTTTTATTTTCATAATTTTATTTAGTATACTAGAACTACCTTTTTTACTTTAATTTTCGTTCTTTTTTATAAGAACTATGTTCATTATATTTTAATCACATATGTGAACACATAATAGGTATTATATAATGATAGATTCATCTATTAAATATATCATATTTTATATGCAGTTATATTTTACAATAATTTTTGAGTGTATATGAAATTAGTATTCTGTTGACATCTTTATTTGGAAAATTATTTTATTAGTGCATATTTTAGCCAATTGGACATTATGTAAAATTGTTTTTGATAAGCTTTTTATTTTATGTATTATTTTATCTTTGATTTTATTTGGTATATGTTTAACTACATATTTTTTTATTCAGAATAATAATTCTCTGCAAAACAAACATCTATGTTTTCTTACTAATCGTCCCTATTAGAATTACCATACACTCAAATTCTTTTTTTAGAGAATCATCGCCTATTTTTTCCTCATCCTTCCGATTAATTACAATGAAATCAATAACATAACAAATATATAAAACCCCAATGGCTCCTCCTACATAAAACCCCCTTGTCGCATCCCCTCCTGGTTTAGAATGATATCTACTTTTATACTCAGTACTATTTTAATCACCGGTAAGGTCACTGTCATCCAAGTGTTTTTGTTCTTGAGATAGTTTTCGAACTTTTCTCCATATAATTTATCATT